CCCCTGCCACAGAGGGATCCCCATTTGTCATACAGATCTTTGTCGGTTGCTCATCAACCTGACATTGCAGTAAGAAGTGATTATTTCTTTTTATATTGTTTCCTCAAGATGGATTTTAGGGTTGTTTTTTTTTCGTGACGGCAACGTTGAGACACATACTTATGGATTGAGGAGCACACACAGAGTAAAAACTCTACTTTCATAACTGAGTAAAGTTAAAGATACTGAACAGCTAATTTTGATGCTGCTTTATCTTTGTTCATGGTTTTGCAGGAGTCATCGATACGCTTGTTCTCCACCTTGAATTTAATTCCATTTAACCACCTAACCTGAGAGTGCTCTTTGCAAAGTCACGGTATGCATGCTAGTGATAGCAAGGGGACGATGCTGCACTAGGAAAGGAAGACCAGCTGCAAATCAGTTTTAAGCAGAGATTAGAGTGTTTCCAGCTCGCTTTATCTCTTCAGCTCACTGAGTCATCGATACGCTTGTTCTCCACCTTGAATTTAATTCCATTTAACCACCTAACCTGAGAGTGCTCTTTGCAAAGTCACGGTATGCATGCTAGTGATAGCAAGGGGACGATGCTGCACTAGGAAAGGAAGACCAGCTGCAAATCAGTTTTAAGCAGAGATTAGAGTGTTTCCAGCTCGCTTTATCTCTTCAGCTCCCCAACTGTAAAAACACCGTGCTGAAGGGCAGCATTTTCACATTTTTAAGTTACATTCAAGCTACACTGTGGAAAATAAGATTAAATTAGTTTTAGATATGTTTTAAAGTGATTCAGAATGGTTTTTTTCCCAATGTCAAAGCTACCGGACCTGTTCTTTGCAAGTGCTGCTCTGTCCCACAGCCCCTCAGGGCACCTGCCAGCAGGAGGACAGGCACAGGGATGGGGATGGCTGGAAGAGAATCCTCTCGCAGGATGCTTGCAGCATCCCTGCCCCGCCATGAAAACACATGGATCCCAAAATTAAAAAAAAAAAAAAAAACAAGTTAGCAAAGGTGTGCTGGCAATACAGCCAAGCAGACAGTCACAGGTTTTGCAGGGGATGTCTTAACACGGCAGCAGAGTGAAAGACCCAGGTTTACACTTCCTTTAGGCATAAGCTGTGCTTTTAAACAGATCATTTGATAAAAGAAATGGCATTAAGCAAAAGCTGCACTTCGCCATATTTGGGTGACATTTTTTTCAATCTTTTTTCTCATTTTAATAGGTTTCTTCTTACCTTTATTTTCAGAATGTTTCCAAATAGTCTTCTCCTTTCTTTCTCTCTGCTGAAAGCCACTCTGTGTGAGGTGCCTTGCCCGCTGGAAGCCAAAGCCCCTGTTACTGGGGGGCTCCTCGCCCCAGGCCCGGAGGCTCAGTGCTCAGATGCCGTAGCTGTTTGCAGTGGGGATGGTACTGGGTTTGGAGCCAGCCTGGATCCTGTCCTGCTCTCCCCCATCAGCAGGCTGTACCTGGAGCAGACGGGTGACAAATGAGGGATGAGAAGACCCACCCTCCATTGGCCCATAGATGACTGTCACCCCTTCCCAAAACCCCCTCCGGAGAAAGGGAGCGGAGGCTGCTGCGGGACAGGAGCTGAGGAGATCAGGGCTGGGGACTCAGAAGGTGCTTCCCCCTCGATGGACGTGCAGCCCGGTTCCTGCTGGTGTGTGCCGTGCAGGGCAGTCTCACGGTTACAAAAAGTCTGTCCCTGCTGCCGCCCTCAAATTCCCCGTTATTCGCACAGCATGCGAAGCTCGAGGGCCTGGACATTTGGCAGCTCCCTGCTGCCGCTCACTGGATTTATTTCTTGTCTGGCTGCTCCACTTCCAAGGCCCCAGTCAGGGAAGGGGAACACGCACTCATTTGGCTCCCCCACTCCTTTTCCTCCTTTGCATTTTTTATTGTCACGCTGCTCCGTTTGCAGGACTGGCCTCTAACGTGCAGATAAGAACTGGCTTCGTTCTCCCTTGCAGGCGAGCGGTAGCAGTGCGTTACTGCTGCTTTACAGCCCCGAGGGTCCCGGCAGCACTCTCAGCTCACAGCGCGCTCTGCAAGCACCGACCTCGCCAGCCTGCGCTGGACCCGCTCCGGGGAACCACCACCGCTTCCTTCGCCACCTCCCCACTGCCGTGCTTGGCTCTGGGCTGCCCCTTGTCACGCTGGTCTCATCTAAAATGACTATCAGGAGGCGACCCTAGGGCCACGAGAGCTCTGTGGTGCACGGGGTGCCACGTGCCCTTCACCTGGCAATACCTGCATCCCCGCGATGACCGAAGCCATTCTAAAAGCAGCTTGTCCCTGGTTCTAACATGGTTTGCTTTGTGCTGCAAAGGAGGTGTCCTCACCTTCCCCCAGCAGCCACGCGTCCAGCCCTGCATCATCCCAGCATCATGCCAGGTGAAACTCCTCCGCCTTACGGGTGAGATCAGACTCCCACATTACGAAACGATTGTGTTGACTGTGTTGAATTTCCTCTGGGATTTTCCTAGAGCAATTGCCACTTAGAGGAAATAAAAGACATAAGCAAAACTCAGCACACTCTTGGAGGCTCCAGGGTGGTACTTCGGCTGCAAAAACATTCCAACACTGCTGGGCCTGATACTGCAATTATTCACTGCTTTCTCTACTGGCACACACAACAGTCTTTCCTCTTTGATCACCAGCTGCTCATCTGCCATCTTCTCCAGAGCCTGATGAAAAGACCTTGTTTTCCTAGAGAAGACATTTAGGCTATCTAGTGGTATTTTTGCAAGTTGGAGGAAAAGGGTTTATTACGTCATAAGTTTACAGGTTGGCAGTTGAAAAAGTGGAGCAGCAACATGTCAGTGAGCAACGAAAGCCCGTTCTGAGCCCGGGATCACAGAGTGCTCAGCAGATGCTTTGCCTTGCTGTTGTGTGTGCGGCTCAGACGCCCATAGCCGCCCCGACCTGTGCAGGCGCCTCCACCTCTCTAACCCTGACGGGCACGCATACAACACTCGAA